ACGCTCCAGGACCTCCAGCACACAAGAGATGCTCAGCGAGCCCTCCAGCAATCGCCCAAGATACCAAACCACCTTGCAATCTCTCAATATTTTTTCTCCCAACACCTTGTATGCAACGGCCCTATGTTTCACAAGGATTCCATCGGATTCCCGGGAATTCCCAGGGATTCTTCGGGATTGCTGGGGATTCCCCGGGATTCCCCTGGGTAGCGCAGCTGGCCCAAGAGGGCCCCAAGACAGTCGAAAGCGCCCAAGACGTCCCAAGCGGCCTCCAAGAGCCGTCCCAGCAGGGCTCCGAGAAGCCAAAATCAATATTTGTCCTTTGGTGTTTCAATGTTTGGGGTGCCCTCGATTTTTCGAGCTTCCAACGCTTCGTGATGGCCCAAGAGGCCGCCAAGACCGCCGCAAGACCGCCCAAGAGGCCCCCAAGAGGGCCCCCAGACGGTCCCAAAGGCGCCCAGGACGGCCAAGAGGGCCCGAAAACAGCCCCGAGAAGAGCCCAATAGGGGGAACACGAATAGAAGATCCGAGTCTTCCGTCCCAACAGGCCCCCAGGAGGCCCCAAAGAGGCGTCAAGGGGCCCCCACTGAAAACGCCCCGAGAGGCTCCAAAACGGCTCCCAGGAGGCCTCCAAACGGTACCCAAGAGGCCTCCGAGAGGCCCCACGCGACATCCCAACGAACATCCTAGAGGACAATGACGCCCGACCCAGGCACGGTGGCGGGATGGGCCGAAGGCCTTGCTTATCCGCCGCCCCCTGTCGATTCATCGCAGGGGTGCCTGGCGTGCCGAACTATATGTGATTGGTTTGGGTCCTTTTTCCAAAAGAACTCCCCCTGGGGCTTCGGCCCGTCCCGCCGGGGTCCCGGGAGATTGCCGCAAACCCGGTTGCAAAGGTTTCCTGCTCCAGACGGCTCCAAGACGGCCCAAGATGGCCTCCAAGACGGCTAAGATGGCCCCAAGATGCCTCCAAGACGGCCCAAGATGGCCTCCAAGACGGCTAAGATGGCCCCAAGATGCCTCCAAGACGGCCCAAGATGGCCTCAAGATGGTCTGCGACGGCCCAACAGGCCCGCAAGAGGCCTCCAAGACGGCCCAAGAGCCCTCCAAGACGTCCTCCAGGAAGGCCCGAAATGGCCAAAATCTGTGATTTTCCTTAGGTTTTTGAAGGATTTTGGCATTTGCGCCTTTTCGGCTTTCCGACGGCCCAAGACGGCCCAAGAGGCCCCCAAGATCGCCCAAGAGGCCCCCAAAAGGGCCCCTATGACGGCCCAAGTCCAAGACTGCCCCAAGAGGACCCCAAGACGCCCCAAGAGGACCCCAAGCAAGACGCCCCAAGAGGCCTCCAACACGCCCAAGATGGCCTCCAAGACGCCCAAGATGGCCTCCAAGACGGCCCCGAAGCGCCCCAAGAGGGCCCCAAGTCGGCCCAGAAAGGCCCCCAAGACGGCTCCCGACGGCGTCAGACGTGCCAGGAACCCACCAAGATGGCCGAAGTTGGCTCGAAGCTGGCCGATGACGGCCCAAGAGGCCCCCAAGAGGGCCTCCAGGAAGGCCAGAAGAGGCCCAAAACCTTGATGTTCCTGAAGGTTTTTTGACGGAGTTTGACATTTGCTTCTTTTCGGCCTTCCGACGGCCCGAGACGGCCCAAAAGCCCCCGAACATCGCCGAAAAATCGCCCACGAGGCCTCCAAGATGGCCCCAGAACGGCCCAAGAGGGCCCCAAGACGGCCCCAAGAGGCCCCCAAGACGGCGAAGGAGGCCTTTCAGACGCCCAAGATGGGCCTCCAAGACGGCCCTGGAGCATTCCAAGAGGGTCCCAAGTCGGCCCATAGAGGCCCCCCAAACGGCTTCCGACGGCGTCAGACGGACCAGGAGCCCACCAAGACGGCCGAACATGACCCTAAGATGGCCCAAGACAGCCCAAGAGGCCTCCAAGAGGCCTCCGAGAGGGCCTCCAGGAAGGCCCGAAAAGGCCAAAATCATAGATTCCCCATGGGTTTTTGAAGGATTGTGGCATTTGCTTGTTTTCTGCGTTCCGACGGTCCGAGACGGCCCAAGTGCCCCCAAAGATCGCCCAAGAGGCCCAAGACACGGCCCCAAGAGCCCCCAAGACGGCCCAAGAGGTCTCCAAGACGCTCAAGATGGCCTCCAAGACGGCCCAAGAGCCCTCCAAGGCGTCCTCCAAGAAGGCCCGAAAGGGTCAAAATGGCCTCCAGGCGGCCAAGATGATCTTCAAGATGCCCACGTGTTCCCCGAAGGCTTTCCAAACCGATTCGGGGAACACATGGTCCGATAGTTTGGCAGGTCTGGCCTCAACGTTCGGCCACATAGGCGCTTCCAAAAAGGCAGGGGCCGGCGGTGATTCGCCGTAGGCGTCTTCGATACCTTATCTCTAAATAGATATACAGAATTCACGTATGTATACATACCTTCACATGGATACATACATACATACATACATACATACAGACATGCATACATGCATATATACAGACAGACTGAGAGACAGACATACGTACGTACACGTATGTCTAATACATACATATATAAATGTATACATACATGCATACATGCATGCATACGTACATACATACATGCATACATACATGCATACATACATACATACATGCATGCATGCATGCATGCATGCATGAATACAAGTATACATACATGCATACCTATAAATGTACATACATGTATACATGCATGTATGTATGCATACATGTATGCATGCATACATACACACATACATACACACATACATACCTACATACATACATACATACATGCATGCATGCATACATACATACATACATACCTACATACATACATACATACATATATACATGCATAAATACATACATACATACATACATACATACATACATACATACATAATGTACAAAACGCGCTGAGTTCCTAAAGCCTCTGGAGACCCACCCACCCGACCCCCACACCGCCCCCACGGCGGTCAGGGGAAGGGAAGGGAAAAGCTAGGGACGAGCAGGCGAAGCCTGTACAAGAAGGACGTGCCAAGGCGAAGCCTGTGCAGAATAGGAAACAACAGCAAGCGTCACTCACGATTATCACGATAATCAGCTTCATTTTTCAACAGACCACGAAATGACCAAAGCCATATCTCCTGCCACGTTCCAGTTCAGACGCGTCGCAAACTCGCTTCCAATTAAAATCCCTCGGCCGAGGGTCTCCACTGTACTTGACCTCATCCGATTCATCAAGGGAAAATCCCTTGAACTCCAAAGGGCGGGATCGGGTGGGTCCGAAAAGCGATGGAAGCACGCTTGCTGTTTGGGAGCAAAGCTGGACCAACACTATACATTAATACCCCCTCGAAGACTCTCACTTCATCATAATGTACAAAACGCGCTGAGTTCCTAAAGCCTCTGGAGACCCACCCACCCGACCCCCGCGCCGCCCCCACGGCGGCCAGGGGAAGGGAAGGGAAAAGCTAGAGACGAGCAGGCGAAGCCTGTACAAGAAGGGCGTGCCAAGGCGAAGCCTGTGCAGAATAGGAAACAACAGCAAGCGCCACTCACGATTATCACGATAATCAGCTTCATTTTTCAACAGACCACGAGATGACCAAAGCCATATCTCCTGCCACGTTCCAGTTCAGACGCGTCGCAAACTCGCTTCCAATTAAAATCCCTCGGCCGAGGGTATCCACTGTACTTGACCTCATCCGATTCATCAAGGGAAAACTGAACTCCAAACCGTATACTGAATGCAAGCTCTGAGATAATGCCAAACCCCGGTATCCGACCTGACCTCTCATATGGCTTTGTCACCGTGGAAACTCAAGGCCAAACACCGCTTGCGCACCACAGCCAATCGAGCTGAGTGTGGGCCCACCGGCCGAGACGGAACCAAAGGGGAGGGCGCGTGGTGGGAAGCTGGAGCACCTCGCGCGCGGTCAAGGGGGTCCGCAGCACAGAGGCATCAACTGCCGACTCGATCGCATCTTTGACCCTGGTCGTGATGCGCTCCAGCTCACTTCCTGGATCGGCCCCTGTTAAGGCGCACAACGGGTTAGCCCACTGAAATTCAAATCCCAATCTTGCGAAATAATACCGTACTGCCAGCACCTCTTCGTCAACAAGAAGCACCTCCCAATCCCATATGGAGAAACTCTCCGTAAAGTTGAACTGAGAGGAGAGCCGCGCCGCCACTGGCGCTCTGACAGAAATAGCATTGATGGAACCCCACAACTCCACTGCCAGATCATCAGGTACCACAGCCAACCCCCGCTCGAGCTCCCTCATCATACTAGGGCGAGAGCGCGCACCGATGTCAACGACGAAGCGGCCGCCTGTGACATTCAGGCGGCATCCCAGCAGATCAATCCCCGACCACGCTTCATCTACGAACGTAGCCGAATTTCTTGCAACTGACAGCGCAGCACCACTCACGGCCAACGTTAAGTTTCGGGCCGCGAGCGCCACAGCCCCTCCGGCGCCTGCCACATCCTCCACCAGGGACGCCGCAGCCTCAGCACCCCTGGACATGTTAGGGAAGATGCTCGGCGGGAAACTGACGACGAGCACCATGAGGATGATGGCAGGCACGAAACACGGGCCGCAGAGAATCTTGAGCACCTCACTGTAGCCAACAGCCGACTTGAGGAAGCTTCCCTTTTGAACTCTGGTCTGCTGTGACTTGAACGGCGCCTGCGCGTAGAACTGCAGCCTTCCTGCCAGTGGATGGCCCGCTGCCTCCGGAGGTGGGACCGCGAGCACCGTGGCTGGCGGCAGCGCACCAGGGCTCTTGGCCTTGGGCGGGGCGAGGACCAACGATACTGCCCCCGGCGATGCCGCCCGAGACGTGGCCCCCGACGGCGGCGCACTGACGCACTGCACCCAGCTGGACGGTGTCCCAGGCGGGCTCGGCAGCGGTGGCACGTTTTCCTCCGTCAAGTCCGGGCCTTTGATCCACCCCCCAGCGTTCTTGTCCCTGATGAAGCCCTTGGGCGCCATGTCCTGGCAGGAGGTGCGTTCCCCAGACGAACGCAGGAAAGTACTGGCGCCACCCTCTCTTGAGCCAGTACAGCTGCTGCGCAAAGCCCTTCGTGTTTAGCTGGGTGAGGGTGTGGCTCGCACCGACGATGTCGAGATAAATGCGCAAACTCCCATCCGAAATCCACCTTCCTCTCTCTCGAACTTCTTCGAACGAGAGCCCCTCGGCCCTCGAATCACTTGCCCATCCTGCTCTGGGGCTGCGAGGCCCCCACCCCATTGATAGACCCAGCGAGCCCTCGGTGCCCTTGAGAGCCTTACGATACTGGGCTAAGCTGTAGGGGAAGAGCGGAGTCCCAGCTGGGGTGGCCCTTGTGATGTCCTCAAGCACCTCCATGATGTCCCGGTCCTCCTGGAATATGCGCGCCACCTGGGGCCTCTTGAGCTTTGTCCCCGCACGAGCCCCAAGAGCGATAGAGACCGAGGCGATGTTGATGTTCTCGCCCAGATCGCTAGGGAAGATGAGATCCTCCGGCAATATTCCCAAGAGCTCCGAGGGGCGTAGGCCCGCATGGCACAGCACGATGAGAGCAAGGCCCAGACGCGGGTTCCCTCTAGCGGCCAAGTGAACCCCGAGGAGCTTACCAGGCAACTTCCCGAGAGGCACGGTATGTTTGCGCCCCACATTTCTTTCCCAGCCTGCAATGACAGCCTTGCTCCACAGAAGTTTCCCCCGCATGCGAGGGAAGAAAAACTCAACTGCTGCAACTGTATTCACGAAATTCGCTGGAGTGAGGTTCTCAATCTGATCATTTTTGCACTCAACTAGAAGGTTGTCCAATTCGTCAGCACCGCTGGGACGCAGGCCGCGCTGAAGGGCCCAAGTCGAAAACCGAGGCCCAGCGCTGCGATATACTTCTAAAGTCTTCTCAGTCACTCGCGCGGCTTGGTCAGGGTCGACTCGACGAGGTCCGACTCGCCGAGCGCACAAAGCCCCTCCGCTTCCTCCTTGACAACTCATCAGCTGTCTGGTGCGCGGTGTCCACCCAGGGTAGGTATAGTTTGATGCCTGTTGCCACTGAAAGTGCACTAATCTTCCTCAGCAGGTAATTGAGATGCGGGGCCGACGACCGCCCCTTTGCTGCAGCTGAGGCCAACGGTTCATTCTCCTCCATGTTACAGATAGCGTGATCATGTGCTCCTGGAAGAAGAGAGAGCGCCTGACAAAGTCTGACCACGGCTCGGCCTTCTCCCAAGATGATGTGGTCAGGCAAGCGCCACCGCCCCGCGTCCAGCTCGTGCCACATCTCCTGAGGGATCTGCAGCAGCTCACGCGGGATGCGAGACACAGGGATGCGGCCACGCAGCTCCCGATCGGCACGATTCAAATGGAGGACCGCGCCGTCCAGCCTGGAAACCGTATGTCCAGGCCTCGTACCCGCTCCGATGACTTGCTCCGACTCACTCTGGGCGATGGGCGCCACGACGATGCCGTACCCGCCGTGGTCGACCCGGTTGGCGCCCTCCGCATCTGAAGCAAAGAGTACAGGCGCTGCCGGTAGGTCCAAGACACACGACATCATTGGGACCATGTCTCTCATGACTCGCACCTCACGGCGGGCAGAGGCCCACCATCGTATTACTCGGCCCTGCCTCTTCTCAAGCAGGTCGAACACGGCGGCAGGGATGGCCATGAGTTCGCGCCTCAGGAGCGCCCCCCACAGCCACGCGCCCACCAACGCCCTGAGCAGCTCCACGTCTACCCAGGGCGTCTCCATGATCCACGTCAAAGCCGCCTCTAGACAGCTGGCCTTGCCACCAGCCAGCTTCAGACGAGGCAGAAAATTCTGCAACTCGTAGCCCACGATCTTCGAGCCCTCCTCGATCCTCTCGCGCTCGTTGACGACGAAGCCGGCCTGCCCCCAGGCGTCGGCGACCTTCTGCATCATCTGCTCGCTCACCACGTCAGCCGACCCTCCTCTGGGGCAAGCAGCTATGTTGAGCCCGTCGTCCACGTGCACGTAGATCGCCTGGAAGCCTGGACGCAGCCGCACGCTGCCGCCCCGGCGGTACAGCTCGTTCAGCACGAAGAGGCCCTCCTTCTCACCCTCATAGCTCCACTGGGTGCGACGCGGCTTCTCACGCCCCGTCCTGAGCCATCCCCCTGGTCCTCGACCTGCGGTCAGCATCCGTAGCGCCGCCCTGACCACACTGAGGGCGATCATGCGGCACAAGCCAGGCGGGTAGGCCTGTAGCCGGCGCGACCTGAAGATGCCGCGCTCGTTCTTCCCGTAGGCCTTCTCGTGACGGTGCCCCCCATCACATAGCAGCGCCTGCTCGCCAACGCCGTCCAAGTTCGAAGCCAGGGTGGTAGGCTTCTGAGACGGTCCCCCGTACATGCACTGGTCGATCCTGGTGGTCTGCACGCCGTGTCGCTCCAACATGCCCTTCACTGCCTCCAGGCCCCAGATGCTCGGGAACGGCTCCTCCTCCGGGTCCGCAGGGTGCTCGAACAGGCCCCCCCCCCCCCGCACTGCTCCTCCACGTCGCACAAGGCCAGGTGGTTGAAGAGCAGCACGTTCGCCTCCGTGACCCTCACGCGCTCCTCCTTCGACAGGTCACTCCTGCCCAGAGGCCCCGACCGAAATCGAAGTGGCCGAGGCCCTCCTCCGTGGATGCGCGCTCTACTCCACGTGGCACAGGGAGGTGCGCCAATGATAATGTCGATGCGGCCCTGTTCGATCATTTCCAGCAGCATGGCGATCAGCTTGGGGCCCGCCAGATCCCACCTATGATCAAAGGCAAGATCCACCCCAAAGAAAAAGATCGCCACCCCGTATTCAACAGCAAACTCCTCCACATAGTGCTGGATATCCATATTCCTCCTGCCCCCCGCGAACGCGCGCAGCACGATGATCACTCGGCGACGCTCCTGCTTCAGCTCGCGGACTTTAGCCGAGAAGGCCTCGGGGGAGAGCCCAGCCTCCTGGCGCCGCTCAGCGCGGCGCAAGGCCTTCTCCTTGACCCACTCGACGTCTTCCACGACGGCCTCGTCAGGAAGATCAATCAACTGGCTCTCCATGGATTCCCCGAAGGCGGCTGACCTCACCAGCGTCCTTCCCGCTGCCTCCAGATTGATGCACATCAGGATGCGAACAGCATGAGACAATCCCATCGGTAGCCTGGTGTAGCAAGGGCACACCAGAGACCACTCCTGGAGTTCGCTCCTCATGTCCACGGGCAACAAGGACCACACTGCTGCTGCAGGGATGGCGGGGGTCGCCATCCACTTCCACATCCACTCAGGCAAGAGAACTGAAGAGAAAGCGTTGCTCTCATCACAACGGGCCATGTGCATCTCCATGCCTGGCGCCCGCATCATGGCAAGCGCACCTCCTCCGCCTAGTCCGTGTTCACCACGGCGTCGTACATCACTCCAGAGATAGTTGGTGGGCACTGCCATGATGAGCTTCCTCAACTTATATCCGTCCTTCTTTAAAACTGCTGAAACTCCATTGATCGTCATCACCTCGCTCCTTGGTCTGAACACCCACAGTCCCGGCGGGAGGTCGTCGCGATGAAGGTAGGATATCCACTGCTCCATCTGGCCCCCAAAGAACCCAAACTGCCTCTCTAGTTCCCCCACGTGCTGCATGGACTTGCCCGCCATCTCGACGACGTTCTCCCCCTTCTCGCAGTACTCTGCCTCGTCGGCAGGCGACGCCTCGAGTAGCGGGACAACCTTCAGCGTCGTCACTTCGTCCACTCTGTTGGCAATGAACTCCGCGTGGACGTCTCTCTTGTGCACTCTCCTGTAGCCTATCTGGTCCAACTTCAGTAGCTCACGCGTCGCTTGTACGCCTGTCACTGGGAACAGCCGGCGAACATTGAGCTGGCCCTTTGCGTGCTGGATAGCCCGCGCCTGGACCCGCCCGACGGCAGAGTTCGTCGTCACCTCATTGCTAAACTTCTGCCGCCACGGTGTGGTCTGCTGCTTCATATTGCCCAGGTAGGTCGAGTTGAGAGCACAGAGCACTCGATTGGCAACCTTCCTCACCATCTGCTTCCGACGCAGCCGCTGCCTACTCCGACCCGAACGCACTGACACACGACCTGGCTGTACAAGAAGTGGAACTGGTAGGACCGCATCGCTGACGCCGAAAGCAGAGGCCATTTCAGATATCGAAGGGAAACTCTGAGTGTAACTGAACTTCGCATCTTCACTAGGCTTATCTGGTTTGGCAATCCATCTCCCCCCCCCCCCTAGGCCGGCACCCTCTGGTCTCCTCGCTCGGCGGCGGATGAGGCTGAGCAGTGCGTGACTGGGGGATTCCCTCCAGCCCGGTACCCTCTGGCCTCCCAGACCCGCCTTGAGCGAAGACTGAGCAGTGCGTGCCTGGGGGGGCTCCAACAACATCCTCCATCTGAAACTGTCGCTGCCCTTCGCGAGCATCTCGTAGCCCCCCACCTCGCGACTCAAGGTGGAGAGCCCCCGGCAGGCGTCAGCCTCCCGAGCCCTTGTCGCCACGACCACGGCCCTTGTTCTTGTCCTTCCCCTTGCCGCCGTTGCGTCGTCGTAGCTCAGCTGAAACTCGTTCAGCCCGCTGATGCTCCATCTTGCTGTGTGTCGTCGCCTCCGTGATGAGCCAGCCCGGCGCGATGTCTATGCCACTCCCTGGGGCAGTGACTGCCCGCAGTCGGGCCGCGCCCGCCTTGTCATGCGTCCGCGACTCGTACACATAGGCCGACAGATGGCGCAACCCTATCTCCACATTGTCATTCGTGTTCAGACAAATCATCAACTCCTGGTCGTTCCCGCACTTGCCTAGCTCGAAGTCCAGCGTCGCCGCCGTGCTCCACAGCGACTGCCACTGCTCTCCTCCTCGATATCCTGAATACTGAGACTGAAGCCAATGCCTGATGCTCGTGCTCCCAGCCGCGCGTATATCCCGATAGATCTCCATCCCAGCCCTCTTGAAGTCCGGCGGCAGTGAGTGGGCCCAGGCATCTACCTCGGCTCCTCC